CCCCAAAACCCCAAAACCCCAAAACCCCAAATGATGAAAATTGCAAGAAATAAGGTAATAAAATAAATAAGAAGGATATAGATTGAAAATGCTAAATTATTTATAATTAAGTAATATAATATGAAGAAGTAGCAATAGTAGTTGTAAAATATTAACATGCCTTCCTCATCAAAGGCAGCCAACCGAGAGCGCCACAATAATCAGCGGCAGGGTATGAATAGTCGGATGGAGAAGCAATCAAGGTATGATGACTAGGAGATGGATGATATGATGAAAAGTTCCAGCAGTTTTGGATTACCCTCTGAATCTTATGCTGAGAGAATATCGGATAAAGAGATTTAAAGCGATAGAAACTTAAATTCACCCTCGAGAAATCAAAATACTTTAAATGCTACAAAAAAGCCATTTATAGCCGATAATGGTTTGGACATTAGTTTTGAATTTCTAGACGATCAGAAAAAAGGCACAGCTCAATAAAAGAAAGGAGGTGATCGAAAAAAAGAAGAGAATTAATTTGGCTCTCCTAGTTTCACTACTTACGGATAGAACACTCAAGGAGAACCTACAAATCGCCTAAATGAAAAAGAAGTGACAAGAAGCACATAGCAGTAAGTAAACATTGGCATTAGTAACATGAAGCATCAAAGCAAGAACTTGCTAAACAAATAGCAATAATCAAGTCAGGAAAAAGCTAATAAGAATAAAATTATCCAGTAAAATATTTTTGGAAATCAAACAATGTATGATAAAGGAATTGGAGCTCTAAAAAAAGATACTGACAAAACTAAGGTGTCCAAAACCCAAAACTTAATGCTGAGTCCTAAATTGTAAAACTAGAGCAAAAAACATACAGCAACAAATCAATTTGAGGGAGGGGAATACCCGACTTTTTAAAACCTAAATAAGCAAAACAGTAATCAAAATGATGATTCATATATTTCATCCCATTCTGGAATAAATCTTTTAGCTGGAGGTTTAGACAACTCTATTCACTTGAATAATCCCTCAGAATTAAATATGCAAGCTGTTCATAATGGTCAAAGGATAATTAATAACAATTATTAGAACATAGTAAATTTGAGAGCATCATAATAATAGTAATCTCACTTGCCAGGAATTCAAAACGGCTATCTATAAAAAGTTATCAATAACATTTAAGATAAACAGCAAGAGAAAAAAGCAACTCCTTTATTGAATTTAGAAGGCATCAGCTAGATGAATGGGTACAATGCTAAGTATTAGACTACGAAGACTTCGTAAGCAAACTAGAATAAAGTAATGCCAATAAGTAAATTTGACAGTGAGGAGGAGGGAGGAGCTGGTCTTGGCCCAACCAGTAGTTAAGAATTCACTATGATGTATGGCAGGAACTTTTCGGCAGGCTAGAGACACAGAAACAGTCCAAGCAAAACGAACATTAATATGTATCAAGGAACTATAAGCGATATCTAGTTTCATAAAACAGAAATTCTTGGCACCAGACGAGAATCTAATGACTACTTTGACTTCAACGATGAGAATGATGCTAATTCCAGACTGCGAAACTATGCAATTAAGAATCCAAATGACTTTGACAATGTCTCTTATGATGAAAGTGAAAGATCTAAAGTGATGAGAATGCCAAATCTCGATGCCTCTAAGATATAGCTATAAGAAGAGATAGGCTACTTACTGTCAAAGCACACTGAGGAAAATGCTAAAAATGAAGATGATAACGAGAAAGATAAAGAAGCAGAAAAACAGCCATTTTATAGAATCGTAGATAAAGACCCTCTAGATATCATAAATGATTATCAAGACAGATGGCCTTGCTTGAAATTCAGAAAGAGCCTAGCCAAAATTAGAATCATTATCAATAGAATCGCTCTGGTTGTAATTTCTAACAAATACTTCGAGTCTGTTTCTATAATGGTCATCATTACAAATTCCTTATTCCTAGCTCTTGATGATCCCTTAACTACATAATAACCTGCATATTTGGATTACAGCGACTCGATATTTCAATACTTATACACATTTGAGATGGTTATGAAAATATTGGGATATGGATTTATCTTCAATAAAGGAGCTTACCTGCGAGACGCTTGGAATGTTCTTGATTTTGTGATTGTAGTGTCTGGTTATATCTCACTCATTTTATCAGGTGGTGGAGTAAATCTAAGTGTACTCAGATCATTCAGAGTCATCAGACCATTAAGAACAATATCCAGTATTTAAGGTCTCAGAGTCATTGTATAAGCTTTAGTAAGTTCTCTTCCTCTGCTCAGAGATACTATCCTTGTGCTTTTGTTCTTCTTTTTGATTTTTGCAATTGCTGGAGTGCAGCTATTCTCTGGTGCACTGATGCAAAGATGCTTCGCAATTGAAACTGGAATTATAATGATTGAGGATAAATTATGTGGAGGTGGTAGTGAATGCCCCTCTGGTTTCGCCTGCGGAAAAACTATGAAGAATCCAAACTATGGAGCCACCAACTTTGACAACATTTTCTATGCTTTCTTACAAATCTTTTAAACTGTCACTCTTGAAGGCTGGACTACTACCATGCTTGCTTTAGAATAAACAGTGGGTTAATGGACAATCATATATTTTGTACCTATTGTCTTCATTGGTGCCTTTTTCTTATTGAACTTGACATTAGCCGTAATCAAGAGTAAGTTCACTGAGGAACATAATAAGAATAAGAATAAACACAGTGATAACGCTAGCAAGAAAAAACCTAAGATTTATGGGAACGAAAGTGAAGAAGACGATCAAGATGTACTTCAAGATAATAGGAATAGCAATGAAGCACCGAAACTTACAAAAGTTTAGTAGAAATTGAAGGAGATTGAAGAGAGCTTAGACCTAACTCCTAGATCGAAGAAGCTGATGAAAGAAAAGGCAAAGCTGCAGGAGCTTATGAAAAGAGTTGATTTCGCTATAAAAGCTAAAGAGGTTAAGGACAAAGTAACACCGAGAGGCAGTTAAATATTCAACTTCTCATAGATGAGTATGGATTAAATTGGTCTCTAAGCGGTTGCACTGCAAAGTAGCAAATTCAAAAATCATCATGTTAATAAGATAAATGTAGCTGAGATATTCAACAGCAGATTCTTCCATTTCTAGGTCAACTCTTAGAATTCACTACTTAAAATTGATGAAAATGATCTCAGTCTTAATCGATCGATTGAAGCAGCATTGAGAAATAACAATGGATCATATGCAAATAGGTTTGGAGCAAGACTTAACAAGAAAAAGTTTGAAGAGTAGTTTCCTATTAAAGAAGATGATCAGGAGAATTCCTTTCTAAAGTCTTCTCATAAATTTAGTTAAGATTTAGCTTCTCTTATTGATAATGAGGACGATAAGAAGTACTCTAAATCTGATGAGAAAGCTAGCAAAGGCTAGGAGATCTCAAACATGAACAGAACCCAGACCATGGGCAAGACAAAGTTTTCACCTTGGCTAGGATAAGTCTTTGAGATTCAAAAGCAGCCTTAATAGGAGGATCATCCTAATTCAGCCAGACTATTGATGGGTGGGTTTGCAGGCATAAAATCAAAACAGTTCTCAGAAAAAGAAGAGTCAGATGAGATTCTGAAACTGAAGAGAGAAATCTACGAAAAAATTGCAAAGAACTTCAATATATTCGAGTTCTTCGATAGAGATCACCCTGGTGATGATGAATATAGCGGAGATGAAGTGCACGAGGAGATTGATTTAGATGAAGAAGAGTTTGATTCCTTTCCCCAGTCAAGAGAAAATAACCGAAGAATACAAGAGGATGAATTAGTAGAGATTCTTGATTAAAGTAATGGAAGTCCAAATGAGCCCAAGTATCAAAGGAAATCTACAATGGCAACTGTTGAGACTAAAAGTTTCATGAAGAAAAGATCTTTCAACTGGAAAGATAAAACAGATTAAAATTTAAGTGACTCAGGTGGTCATAATGGTATTGGCAGACAGCCTCAGAATGAAAGAGAGTTTTCTCAGAACATCACTGGTACCATTGGTCTCAATGATTAAACTATGTTTACTACGCACAATATGTTGATGACTAGCATTCACGGAAATAACCAATAAACCTATAGACAGCAAACAGCTATTGCGAGACTGTAGACGCACTCACCAGAAAAGAATTCATTTAAACTTGATCATCAACAATTCGAAGATGAGGATGAGAAAGCAAAAAGAGAGGAATAGGAGAAAAAATATAACAATACATTCAAGCAGAAATTCAAGACCTTTTTCAGAGGATGCTCTATGTAAAAGAGATAAAAGCGACTGAAGATAATTGAAGAAGAGTTTAAGAAAAAAATGGGAAGATCTAAGTCCTAAAAATTGCCAAAAGAAACGGCAAAAGGCAGGTCTATGCAAGTCAAGCCTAGTCCAATTCCCACTATGGAGACCAGAGGTAACATAAATAATTCAGGTAATGTTCACAATGAGTCAACCTTACCTAGGTATCAAAGTTTATTAAAGCCTAGCATTAGAGCTAAATCAGAAGAAAGAAAAACATTGTAGCTTTAGAAATAGCACTACTAATTTAAGTAGAAACTTGAAATTATGTAGAAGCGCCGATCTAAGTTCTTTGCCCAAGCACTTAAAGACATAGGCAAAACATAGGAGCAAGTTTTGAGGGAGTTGAAGGAAAATGCGAGGAGCAGAAGATTTATAAAGTTGGGAGGAGGTTTCGAAACTACAAAGAAAGCTGAGAAAAAACTACTTATGAGAAGTGGTTCACTTGATTTTGACAAGAAACCAACACTCTCATTATAGGACAATGCTTTTAAAATTAACTTGAATCTAGTAACAGCAGACGATAGACTTTTGGGATTTTCACCTAAAAAAGACTAATCCTATAAGTATGATGACGATATTAGAATCAATAAAAATTAGAATTTAAAGACCAAGATAAGCAACATTTCTAAAAAGTTAAAAGATTAGCAAAGTGATGGAGAAGTGCTAGATATGGATGAAGTTCTCAAAGAAAAGAAGAAAAAGCTCATTATAAAGATGAAGAATTACAAGTTTACCTCAGTCGATGATGTTTTTGAAACTAGAGACGATAAGGACAAGGACATGATTCATTCCAATGTTAATGCTAATTAAAAGGCATCTATGATGAAAGAACCTGAAGTAAAAAAGATACTTAGACAAGGTGAGTAGCAGCACAAGCCCTTCTAAAAGAAAATAATGAATGTTTAGAAGAGATTCTTTGAAGATCTGATGCAAAATGAAGTTATTGAATCAGATGATAATTAAGAAACTGTTCTTAGAAGACTTGAAGATGAGTACAACGTTGACCATAGATCAAATATACATGTGACTGGTACACTTTCAATTGTTATCAATAAGCCAACAAATGAAAACAAGATGCTTAATAAGAACTATTATGATCAATTAAATCCAAGTAGAAGAGTAATAGCAACCTCATTTATAGAAGAACCCTCTGTAAATCAGCTTTTCATTCTTAGCAAAGAGAATATTTTTTCAGATAATGAATCATTAGTACATCAAAACTCAGCTCGATCTCAAAATCTAAACGTAAATCTAAATCAGTCATAAGAGCTGTTACCAGTTCAAAAGTTGGGAAACAATCTAAAGCTGAATCTGAGAAGAATAAATACTAGGCTTTCAGGAGGTAGTAAGAAAAGCATGAAAAATGGAATGAGCAAGAAAAAAACTATTAAATAATCGAGCGTGCTGGGGACTGAAAGAAAATCTGCACCTAATAGTCAAAGAAATAATCAAAATAATCAGAATACGGCAAACTAGCAAACATTAACCTCTCAATAAAAGAAACAATAATAGGAGGCTTTGGATAATGCTCGTTATTTTATGCCTAGACCAGAAGCCCTTACTGACAAATAAATATTAAAAAGATTAAACAATGAAGTCAAGAGATCAAAAGTCTTTAGCTCAGTGCATTTCAGAAAGCTGCCAGATTCAATAAGAAGAAAAGATGGAGTAGTAACTGTGCTACCAAATAAGAAAAAGAAAGGAGCTAAAAAAGGAACAATAACTCATAGAGATGAAGACGGAGATGATGAACTTTCTGAAACTAGTGAAGAAGAAGAACGTCTAAATGATGATTACTTTATTGACAGGGAACTAGACTATTATGAATAAATACTCAAAGCTAAAAATGCAGCTGCTAGTAGACCAATAGATAACATTGAATGGAGTGGGCAGGACATCATGCAAAGATTTGATCCATATAAAGCTAGAATAGCTTTGGAATCTCTTAATAAAATCAGAGTATGGCCTAAAGGAATAAGTGGTTATGTTAAAAGAGCTCGAGTTTTATTAAAGCATTTTATGAAGAGTTCATTTATTGAAAACTTCATGACTCTCTGTGTCTTTGCAAATACTATTGTACTCTCTATTGATCATTATGGAATAAAATAAGATTTAACTGATATTCTGTCAGTTTGCAATACACTATTCACTATTATCTTCGCTGTTGAGATGTTTTTGAAAATATTGGCAGTTGGAATAGTAAAGTACCTAAGAGATAAACTAAATTACATGGACGGTGCTATTGTTATATTGTCACTAGTTGAATTAGTATTTATGGGAGGTAAAGGATCATTGAAAGCTCTCAGATCAATAAGAATTATAAGAACTTTCAGAGTATTAAGAGTGGCAAGACTGCTTAGAGGACTAAAATCAATGATGAATATTATTGCTGTTATTTAAAGATCCATTTCTAGTTTCATTTACTTAGCAATGCTTTTGTTCCTATTCATTTTCATTTATGCCTTGCTAGGTATGCAGATTTTTGGAGGCTCATTTATTCCTTAAGAATAGTCAAATAGATATAATTTTGATACATTTAATCAAGCTTTTGTCACCTCATTTATATTGCTTTCTACAGAAAATTGGAACTCAGTAATGTTCTTTGCTTTCGGTTCTACAATTAATCCATTCATATCAGCAATTTACTTCATTAGTTGCATTTTTATTGGAAATTTCATGCTTTTGAATTTGTTCTTGGCTATCTTGCTAGATAGTTTTACAGCTGTTGAAGAAGAAGATCATGATACTCCAGAAAAAAGAGTTGCCCGTGAAAAGTAAAGAATAGAAGACCTAAAAACTAAAGAAGGAGAAGATTTCATCAATGGACTTGATGAGATTGAAATCGACAATGCCCAGAAGAATGTTAGCAAAAAGAAGAAAAAGAAGAAGAAGAAGTCTTCTGGAAAGAGCAGAACTGGAGAGGAGCCATTGAGCAACATTCTTGAGGAAAGTATTGAAATCGATTTGGAAACTCTTAATAGTCGCAAAGCTGAAACCCTTTCATAAAAGAACATACTCTTTAAAGGCATTGAATGTCAAAGATCTCTTTATATATTTAGCCAAGTAAATTAATCATACTCATCTTAATTTCTTAATAGAGTAACCCTTTGAGGATAAAGATATATGAGATGGTTACAAACACTAAGTTTGAAACTTTCATTCTATTGGTGATTGTGTTTTCAAGTATAAAGCTGATCTATGATACTTATACTTAGGACTTTTCAGATGATAACCCATTAGTAGACATTTCTGCCAAGTTTGATTATGTTTTCACCACTATCTTCACTATGGAACTGATGCTGAAGTGTGCTGCCTTCGGATTCGCAATGGATACTAACTCTTATCTAAGAGAAAGTTGGAATCAGCTCGACTGCTTCATTGTTATAACTTCCCTCATAGATGCCTTATTCTCTAATGTTAACCTCCCAATCATCAAGATTCTGAGACTTCTGCGTATACTTAGACCACTAAGATTCATCTCACATAACTCATCAATGAAAACAGTGGTTGTTGCTCTACTTTCATCTATGGGAGCTATATTCAATGTAGGAATCGTGGTCATCGCAGTGTTCCTAATGTTTGCTATTCTTGGAGTGAATCTATTCGCAGGTAAACTCCAATCTTGTAGTGTGAACCCTTATCAAGTGAGAAATGAGCTTGATTGCTTCAAAGCGAGGGGAGAATGGATTACTTATAGCTAAAACTTCGATAATGTTCCCAGAGCAATGATTACCTTGTTTGTGGTAGCTACCTAAGAGGGATGGCCAGACTTGATGTATGCCTATACTGATATAACAAATGAAGCTCAGGGACCAAAGCCTGGCGAATCTCCAGCAAATGCCTACTTCTTTGTTGCATTCGTCTTCGTTGGATCATTCTTCTTTATGAATCTGTTCGTCGGTGTCCTGTTTATGAACTTTGAAGCTGCCTAGAGAGACGAGAAAGAAGCGTTGCTTCTAGACGGAGATGAAATGAAATGGGTTGATATGATGAAGATGATAATTCAAACTAAACCTGAGATCATTAAGACTCCTAAAAATGTAATAAGCTAGTTCTTGTATAAGCATACCAAGCCAGAGACTAAATTTGATTTATTTATCATGATTTGCATCATACTCAACATGCTTTAAATGGCTATCAATTTTGAAGGCCAGACTGTAACCTACGGAAAAGGATTAGAAGTTGCAAACTACATATTTACTGGCATTTTTGCTCTTGAAGTAATGCTTAAGATTGTTGCAAATGGCACAGCATATTTTGCTCCAACTTGGCATAAGTTTGATGTTTTTGTAGTCATTTCTAGTTTCTTAGATATAGTCATGGGTCAGCTCTCAACTGCTACTTTAAAGCCCCTTAGAGTAGCTCCCTAACTAGCAAGAGTTTTAAGAGTACTCAGAGTGAGTAGACTGTTCAAACTATTAAACAAGTACAAAGGTCTCTAAGCTTTGATTCAGACAATCACATTTTCTATTCCATCCTTGTCGAATGTATTTGCCCTTCTCCTCTTAGTTTATTTCATCTTTGCTGTGCTCGGAGTTTTTATGTTCAGACAAATTACAGTAGGAAACATAATTGATCCTACCTTTATGAATTTCGCTAATTTCTCACAAGCCCTTATCATTTTACTTAGAATATCAACTGGTGAGGATTGGCCAACAATAATGTATGACACAATGAACACTGATTCAACTTGCATCTAGGGAAAGAACTGTGGGTATTCTTACTCTCCTGTATTTTTCATTGCCTTCGTTATGATCTGCTCCTATGTGATGCTCAATCTGTTCGTGCTTATCATCTTACAACAGTTTGAGCTCTATTATCTGCCTTAGGATAATATTTTGCAGCAATTCAGAGAGGATTTGATTAAGTTCAAATTCACATGGTCTAAGTTCTCCAAGGAATTTGAGGGACTCAAGATCAGATCACTTGACCTAGTTGCTTACTTCAAAGAATTAGAGGGGAATCTAGGAATGAAGGACGACACAGACAAAAATATAATGAGATACATAGTTAAGATGAATCTTGAAAGGTAAGAATATTTAGGTTATCAAATAACAATATAGTGATGAGGAAGGCTTTATCTATTTCAATGAACTGCTATTCAAAGCCATGAAGAGGATATATGGAAAGGAGAGGACTAAGAAGAGAATACTAGTTGACTTTGAACTCAAAACACTTGATAAACTACAAAGGATCAAGGCAAAGCAACAAATGAAGTCAAGAAAGAATGAGAGGGTCAAGGCTGTTACTGTGAATCCATTTTTATCAGTAATGTATAAAAATATGTCATTTAAAGCCTGGGCTAAGATATTCAGTAAGTTTTAAAAGCATACTAACATATTTAGAGTATAACCGAATAAGGAGAAATGATGAGGTTGAGTACAATTTAGATCGTGATAGTTCAGATGAAGAACTGCAATAGAAAGATGAAGATGAGTATGCTTATGTTACTGAGAAGGACGAGTCTTGCTATTCAGATGAGGGGGAAATTGGAGGTTAACAGAATCTATAATAAAATGAAATCATAGCAGAGGAGTCATCATAGCATATCTCAGATATAGACAGCCCAACTAAAGTTCTTAAGTAAACTTCTAGGCATTCACACAAAGCCTCTCAAGATCTGCAGCTGATGCAAGAAGATATGATACTCATAGAAAATAATGATCAGACTATAGTTAGTGATAAAAGATGACAAAAATCCTATAAATATGAATGATTATATTTAATAAAATTACCACTAGAATTTCATCAATATTCTTTATTATTTAGCTCTAGGGGTTTTGGGGTTTTGGGGTTTTGGGGTTTTGGGGTTTTGGGGTTTTGG